GTATATCTTAAACCAAATATATCAGTACAACATGATGTGAATGTTAACAAACTAATTTTATCAACTGCGCAAATATGTAGTAAATTAAAAAAAATTGTATTTACGTCATCCATTAATATAAAACTAATTGTGATAAAAGCTATACACATTCAAAACTTACTACATTTTTTAAATACAACTAAATTGCATAGAACAACAAACTATGTAAAAGGGTTTCCGACTACTTTGTGTTAAAATATTAAAATCTGAATTCTAAATATCATTTGTTCAAATTAAGACCAATCTGTTCCATTTACGACACTGTTGAGTTTTCCTCACTGTCGTCTCGTTCGTTTAATAAACGTCGATCACGACTTTCCAAAAAAGCCCACACCAATAATGGTGTGCAACCAAGTACCATACAGGAACCCATACAATAAAAAACTACCTCATAACTTCCAGAGAGATCGCGTAGAAAACCGGCTAGTGGTGGTACTGATATAGCACCAATACTCTGAAACATGCGTACCAAACCATAACTGGAACTAATACGATCTGTGCCGAAAATATCTGCTAACAAAACTGGCATTAACACATACCAGCTACCGAGGCAAAGACCGTAAAGTGCAGCAGATAATCCAACCATATAGAGTTTTTGTTCTGACGGTAAGGTAAGTACAGCTGTGCCAGCGCCAAGAATACTGCAAATAAATAAATTTAAAATAAGTAAACAATATTATTAAATGTAAAATGATTTTTTACCAGAAAATGTATATTTTTTTTCGATCAAATAATTGTAAATCTGATAGATAACCGAGTCCTAAGCGTCCACATAAATCTAGCACAGCACTTACTGCTACTAAATATCCTGCTTGACTTTTATTGTAACCTAAATATAGCCAGAGTTTACTTTAAAATAATTCCAATTATATTTTAAAAAGTTTTATTTACCAATAGAGATCACGTGTGCTGGTAAGTAGTATAACATATATGGACAACCTACTGAAGTTAATGTTACCGATAAGCACATTAGTATAAAAATAGGATCTTTCAGCAAACTTATATCCAAATACATTTCAATCCGTTCACAGCATGTCCGTGGTTCATTTTCATTATCGTCTTCTTCAATACTATTCTGTCGTTTTATACCAGCTGCAATTGCATTGTTGACATCATCATTGGGCTTCACTTTAGATGTATTTGTAACTGGTGTCGGTATTTCCATACTTTTACTTAGACCACGTGTAACCACGACAGGTGGTGATAATGGCTTTTCCAAATGCGCTTGAATTTTGGATATAATTTCATCATTGGCGAAAACATTTTTACGTCGCCTACTACCACGATTCGAATCAGTACCGGAGTGTTTACGATAAACCCAAGTAGAATCGGTACTTAAATCCTCGACTGAATGCATAATTCCTGAACTTCGAACTTTTTTCATAGGTTTGATAAATGTGGTTTCGCCAATAATATCTTTACATTCATCATCACTTTCTTGTTCCATGTTATTGTTGCGTTGCTTATCATTAACTGCGGAATATTAAATATTATTAACAAAAAATTCACTATGTGTAATTAATATTTTTTCTTTTATTATAAAGGGCTGTGTAAATATTTTATTTCTAGACAAATATTTCGCTCGAAATTGTTATTTTAATAATGAAAACTATAACTCTTAATACGGTGGGCGTAGTCAAGGGGGAAACCTATCACATGTCTCCCTTAAAAAAATGTACTTGATCTAATATTTTTTAGTGAATAGATGACTAATGGGATAGGAGCCCTCCTAAATCTGATAGATCGATGGATAAGGTATGATTATGCGCTTGTGTAGACAATCGTTTGCAATTGAAACTAGATTCCCGATTTGAAAACCTTTGTTTTGATATTGTGGTACAATTTTAATGCTTATTTCATTTCAATAAGCATTTTCTTTCTCTCATCATTTTTACATAGAAAATTCTTTAAAAAACCGCTACCTCAGCCCCTGATTACCCCTATAACTATTATTATCATGATACCCACAAAGTACTGACACCCATTTCTATTAAACAATTTGGTTTCAATCAAGTACTTCAACATTTTGATTGTAGACTGTAGTCAATTCAGTCAATTCTTCAACGTAGAAATCCAAAGAGTTAATGCTTTGTTTGAAAAAGGTTAGAAATTGTCATAACAAGTGTTAAACAGTGCCCGTTCACCCTGAGCCTGTGACTTCTACAGAAAATTTTGCTGTGCTTACTCAATCTAGATTGTAATCACAGACTTTAATAGCTTCACATTAGTCTATAATTTTGTTATTAATTTTTTGAGTTGTTACGTCGAAATTTATATTAAAGTCTGTTTTGTTTTTTTAAGAATGTTAACTTTTATTTCGTGCGTTATTTTTTAGTATAATTCTATACGTATTTCGGCAAATTCGCTTTTGCCTTCATCAGGAGGATTCCTAATATTAGGAATATTAGGAATCCTCCTGATGAAGGCAAAAGCGAATTTGCCGAAATACGTATAGAATTATACTAAAAAATAACGCACGAAATAAAAGTTAACATTCACATTAGTCGTTTTTGAACTTAGGTTTTTTTTTTTATTGCTTTAATATTTGTTCTTTAAATATGAGAGACAAGCTTTAGAATAACTTGTTTTTATTTAAAGAATTACTAATAGAATCACTTTTTTTAATTTGGCTTAAAGCTATAAAGTCCAGAGGTATGTTATATATAAAGGCAAGCGATATTTTTTTAAATAATTTGGAAGAAAATGAAAATAGATTATGTTTTTAAGAATTTGTTAATATAGTCAAATTTTTTTTTGGAAATTGCTCCTTTGTTATATATTAAAGCAATTTTCTGATCAGTACTTGTATATATTATTTTTCTGTCAAGTTGCATTGGAAGAAATTTTAAATTAAACCTGACTTTTTAAGTATGTATATGTTTTCTAAAGAGACCCTCAAGTTTTACACTCTTATTACCACATTTTACAACTTACCATGATTTTTCCCGGAATAGTAGTCATTTAACCGATTTTTAGACTCCTCCAAAAAAAGATGCTCAATATATTTGGTACTTAAACCATCTTCACATGTGTTCAAATATGTAGAATTAGTTAAAACACCCGTTGAACTGGGATTTATATCATTTAGAGGTTTTGCCGACTCTTCGTCTTCAATTGTTTGTGTTGCATCATTTGAGTAATCTTCCAAGGGCTTATAGAGTGTTGCAGAAATGCAAACATGTAGCATACAAACTCCCAATATTAAAATTGTGCCATGAAATCCAAAATGTTCTGCTAAATGTTTAATTAAAACGGGCAGTATGAAACTACCTGCAGCTGTGCCGGAGACACATATACCATTAGCTAATGCACGATGTGCATCAAAGTATTGCGATACAATGACAATACCAGGTGTGGTAGACAGACCACCTCCTATGCCTACAAATAGAGAAATTAATTTTTGTTTTTTTTTTTTAACTTAAGCTATAAAAAGTTTTACCTGTTAAAATACCAAAAGTGAATAGCAAATGTAATAAACTTGTAGCAAAGTAGCTCAATGTTAAGCCAAAAGCACAAAAAAGACCACCAACAAAGACTACTGAACGACAAGAATATTTTTGGCACAAAGC